GTTGTCTACATGATTCAACTCCTCCTACAAAATTGCATTTTACTAATGAAGAAAAACAGACTGAATGTGTGACAACATTTATAGGATGCACTGAAGAGGAGTCCAAACTACACTCAGTGGCCAAATTATGCTTATGGTCCATGATATTTGTACAGATTCTGTGTCATGAACAATTCTTTGTGACTTTCTATTTCAAGTTGGAAAAGACGTTAAGTTCCCACTTTAAGTGAACCTTCCCAGTCAGCAAATTTCCTTTGGCGCGGATCTGGCCCATATCAACAGCTAAAGTGTGGCCCAGATTAGTTTGTGTTCGCCGGCCCAAAACTAGTCCACATCTTAAAATTATACAATAAACATTTAAATAAATGAGTGTGAATCCATTTTTGTGTTTAAGATTAACTGTGTAATGGGTATTTTAAATAATAATAAAAATAGGTGTGTTGTAAATATGGTTAAATAATACATAAGGACCGTCAGCCCTTTACAGAACTCAGCCATATAACAATACCATATAAGGTCCATATATCAGCCACATCTGTTTTTATTATTTGGCTCACTCTGGGTTGGGTTATGGCACTGTTTTGGTTCAGTTCTGGCTAAAAAGATGTGGACCAGTTTTGGGCCGGCGAACACAAACTAATCTGGGCCACACTTTAGCTGTTGAATATGGGCCAGATCCGCGCCAAAGGAAATTTGCTGACTGGGTTGTGATTGGATGGTTTACGCTGTCAATACAGGAGACAAACCAATGGGCCACTGGCTGCTCGTTGTCCGTGCATGATGGTCCTTGGCAAAATAAAAAAACTTCTGTCGGCCCCTTAAGTGCGTCGGCCCACCGGGAAAAAATTCCCGGTTACCAATCCAGCCCTGAATACCAGTTTATGCTGTTCTCAAAAAAATTGTCATCCAAAAGAAAATTCCCTCCAATTCTAAATCCATGGCAAAACATATACGGTTAAAGTTTGGCCCATATGTGCTCAGCCATGCCATACCTAGGCCAAATGTGACAGCTATCAGCCACATTTGACCAAAACGTTCTTGCTATCTGGGTTAATTCCCAGGTCATCTACAAGATCGATTAAAATGCTGATAAATTCAAGAAAAGATGAGACATAAACACATGAAAGTATGATTGAAATGTTAAAAAATAATAATAAAATACATAAAACATGTTTATTCTGTGGCACCTAAAAAATTATTTGGCACCTACAATTTTTTCTTATAGGAGCCAATGGCTCCTTACTCGATTACCTGATTGCCTAATCCTAACCCCTCCCCCACACCTACTCCTAAACCTACCAATACTAGGGGGTGCATAATCTGGCAGGGTGCAAATTTCGGCACTACACCGGTGTTGTGCCGAATTCTGACCCCCGCCAGATTAATAGCCCTGCAATTAGGTGCTTTGGTATAACTCTTTGCTGACAGTTCAATTTGTTAATTCTTTTCCGTTATTTGGAAACCTGTAGGGAGGTGGGTGCCATTTTCTTTGTAATTCATTGTTTTCTCCTGTTATCAGCCACATTTGACCAAAACGTTCTTGCTATCTGGGTTAATTCCCAGGTCATCTACAAGATCGATTAAAATGCTGATAAATTCAAGAAAAGATGAGACATAAACACATGAAAGTATGATTGAAATGTTAAAAAATAATAATAAAATACATAAAACATGTTTATTCTGTGGCACCTAAAAAATTATTTGGCACCTTCAATTTTTTCTTATAGGAGCCAATGGCTCCTTACTCGATTTTTTTTGTTTGGAGCCCTGCAATTAGGTGCTTTGGTATAACTCTTTGCTGACAGTTCAATTTGTTAATTCTTTTCCGTTATTTGGAAACCTGTAGGGAGGTGGGTGCCATTTTCTTTGTAATTCATTGTTTTCTCCTGTTTTTCTGAGTGAGACAGGGAAGTATTGTTTTTGTTCTGTTATAGGTAATTTAAGATTAACATTTATTTGGAAATTTTGTTTATTATTTTGGCCTTGCTCCTTCCTGAAGCTTTTGTTTCCAATTTCTTTTCTGTTTTAATAAATTATGCTTCAGTTTGATATTTGGTTGGCTGTTTCTTTCTTGAGCTGGGGCTGGAGATGAGAGGTTCCGCATGATCTCTCTCAGTTTTGTTACATTTTCTCTTAACCCCTAGATTTAAAAAGGGGAGATCGTAACACTACCGGAAGCTGTTATTCTTTCAATTGCAATAAAAAAATAAAAATAAAAAAAATAAATAAAACACTACCGGAAGCAGTAAACCATCCGGGTACTTTGTAATTCATTGTTTTCTCCTGTTTTTCTGAGTGAGACAGGGAAGTATTGTTTTTGTTCTGTTATAGGTAATTTAAGATTAACATTTATTTGGAAATTTTGTTTATTATTTTGGCCTTGCTCCTTCCTGAAGCTTTTGTTTCCAATTTCTTTTCTGTTTTAATAAATTATGCTTCAGTTTGATATTTGGTTGGCTGTTTCTTTCTTGAGCTGGGGCTGGAGATGAGAGGTTCCGCATGATCTCTCTCAGTTTTGTTACATTTTCTCTTAACCCCTAGATTTAAAAAGGGGAGATCGTAACACTACCGAGAGCTGTTATTCTTTCAATTGCAATAAAAAAATTTAAAAAAATAAAAAATAAAACACTACCGGAAGCAGTAAACCATCCGGGTACCTTTGGAATACTCCTTTCAACATACTACGATTTGGGCAGAGGTGGAAAGTAACTAATTACAAATACTTTCAGTATTTACAGTAGTTGAGTACATTTAATTTTTCTACTTTCTTGAGTATAATTAAATTGTGGTACTTACTTTTACTTGAGTAAAATAAAACTAAAGTATTCAACTTCGCTACATTTATTTTTCACCAAAAGTACAAAAAACACACAAATAGACAAAGAGGGCGCCGATGGAGAAACGGAGCGAGCCGGCGTTTGATGGGCACTTTTCAAACTTCTGGGGTGGAGCCCTGCGCTTCAGGCAATAACAGACAGGTCTGACTCGGGTGCAAAACCAATCAAAACTTCCAGTTCAGCTGGGGGGCGGGGCGTTCAACCCGCACTTAGCTTTGACTGTCAATCACCGGCATTGTCGTTTTGAATCCGCATCATTAGCGTTTCAATATTTTAGTGAATGTGAGCTATACTCTGATTTTAAATTGTCATTTTGTCAGCTCCTGAAATGGGTCATACCATTGATATTACACAGCAGTATAAGTAAATAAAAACTCGGTTGATAGAAGGACACAGTTATTGCATGGATGGTGCAAGAACAATGTAACTTCTTAAATACATGCACACAGTTCAGTTGAATGGTAAAAGACGCCCTCTTTAACAGTGCAG